TCTTTTATAGATGAACTATACACGCGGTCCTTTGTGTCGCTAAGCGGGAGGAATATGCGTAAATCTCGCGGAAATTATAGCGTTTTGCCGAACGAGTACCTCCCGTGTGATACTTATTACTATTCTTAAACTAAGCGCACAAAAGTGATGTGTAACAGATAAAACAATTTGTTCTTATTTAAAATATTTAAGAAAGGAACACGAGAGAGAGAGAGAGAGAGAGAGAGAAAGAGAGAGAGAAATATATATACACCAAAAAATAAAATAAAAAATATAGTCATAGAGATATATGTAGTATAATAATAATATATGTAATAGCTGAAAGAGAGAGAGAGAAGCAATTCGTTGGAATAAGATAGATAAATGGTTCTGCATCTATTGAAAAGCGAAGAAAGACTTTCCGATTTTGTGAGCGTAATTAGTAATCGCGATTAACAATATAATATAAAATAATATACAATATCAATATTAATCACATCATCTGATTCTTACATCTTTTTGAATACTTAATATTTAATTTTTTCTTATATTTGAACATGATACATGCAAAATCATTTCGTTAATCTTTCCCCCCCCCCTTCCTTCTCTGAAAATTGATACTTCGGTATTTATTAGACAGAATTATTTCAAAGCATTCTTATTCTCGAAGCAGATGCTGGAAATCAAGTTCGCCCTTATATACATCCCGATCAGCGTCGTCGACCCCGAGAGTGCGCTAAATCGATATCGAGACATAATGAAAAGGAAAGAAGAACGGGCTGCGAGAGCAGTCCAAGGGCCGCGGTCCGTCCCATCTTGAAAGAAATCTCTTCAAGGGGCCCGGGCGCGAATCTTGTCGGTAACCCCCTTCGAAATTTGTTATTTGACGTTTTAGGGTGGCTTTTTCTGGTTCGCCCTACATAGTCTGATTCGATGGAATTTTAGGGTAACGACTGGCAGCTGTCCAGACGTTGACTCGATTCAGTTTTAAATTCGAGTTGTAAAATTTGAGAAACGTAATCGCGTATGCCTGAGATCGACACGACGAGCGCGAACTTTTTATACGGAGAAACGTCCCTTCGTGAATTAACTTCAATTCTAATAACTTAGTGAATAATCCACACGGATCTCACAGACACTGATATACCCGCATAAACTCCGAAAATGCCCAGAGGATAGCTCTCGGATGAGAGATCACACGGGAATACGATAATACACGATCTATTCATATATAGGTATCTTGAATTTTGTAACATTTCAAGAAAAAAATTTCATAACTTTACTATTTTCATTAAGAACTACTATATTAAAAAGCAGCAATATTAAACAACAAAATAATCAAAAGTTGAAAAAAAAATTAATATTACAAACAATTCTATTAAAAACAAATTTAAAATATGCTAGAACTCATTGTGTAGAAATATAAAATTCTGAGAAAAATATTTATTGTCATATGTACTTTAATAATTATAAACGAGGCGTGAGTTTATCACGAATTGAGCAGCTCATTTCGGAAAAGGGAAACTCGCATCATTACCATAAGTGTCGAAGAATCAATGACCATCCCTACTTTCTGATAATTCACGCCATGTAGAAATCTATATAGAGGCTCGAGGGAAAACAAATCCTAGAAATACATCTCTATTTCACTGTGAGCGATTCCATCCATATATCACTTTGTATCCGTAAAGCCGGCATATTCTTCCATTCACTGATTGTGAGGTAGCCTATGCTAATATAAGTGACCTTCCAATGGTATTCGCAAACTTAATGATCTTTCTAAGATTTAGTTGAGTGTGAAATCGCGGAATGACTAAAAGATACCTTTGTAATCCCTATGGTGTTACCAAGTGAAATTTTTGCATTATTTTCATTTTTCGTATTTTTTAACAGCGGGATATTGAACAAACGCACGCAAATGACAGTAAATTTGTCCACGATTTTTTATACTTTGTTCTTAACGGCGAGATATTAGGCAAACGCACACAATAATAATATCTCGAATATTTAAAACCTTTTCTAAATTTATATAAACTTTGATTCTTGTATATTGTATCTCTAAATTTATTTTTAAGATTAATAAAGAGAGAGAGAAAGAGAACAAAAATATAAAAAATAGGTAATAAAAAAATATGACTCTCTTGAATGGGAAAAATGCAAGACAAAATAAAAAGAAAAAATTTTTGATATAAATAAATAAACAATATTTACAATCCATTTTTTACAATTTACATAATTAATATAATAATTTAATGTAAAGAATATTATTTTATCAGAGATTTTTAAGTTCGAAGAGATCCACCGGATATGAAGATCGTCAAGACTTATTTTTCTATTTTCACAAATTTTCTCTCAGATACGCGATACTAATATCAAGATAAATGTAAGAGAAGCCCGCGAGCATATGAATGTTGCATATCGCGAAATTTGTAATAACGTCTAATCAAAACAAAAGCGATCCCAATCTTTCGTAAGGAATATGCATCTGAATAAAAGAATACAATGAGTTTCAGTGGAGGTACAAAATAAACGATGCAAAAAATTCTTAACAGAGTTGGCCTGAAACCGGGTTTAAATCTCCTTAGTCAACCTAGTCCCCCTGTCTACTCTCCCTTCCTTTTTGTCTTGCCGAGGCTGTAGACCTGCGAGGACGACCGGCCGGAAAAAGACGAATAGTCGTCTCGTCGTTTCTTTTGGCTTTGAGCACTCCGCTAAACGACTAGCACTGAAAAGCGCGCGATAGCTGTAACTTGAATGAGAGAGATACCATGCTGCGAGTGGCTACGAAGAAGTTGGATTTCTTGTCTGTCGTCCATCCGCTCGTTTGGACGCTTAATCTCTCTCTTTCTCTCTTTCTATACCTGGGGAAAAAATACTATTCGACCGAATGAAACTACGGATATTCGGGATAATCTCGAAAAATTGTCTTGAATTTTTTTCTTTTTTACATGTCTCGGTCAAATTCCAGACCTTCCATGAAAACAATTACAATTGTTCTTACTAAAGGTACACGTTTTGAACAACGAAAGAGCAGGTTTGAAGAATTCAATACGTCAAGCGTGACGATCAAAATTCGTTTATAACATCTCGTAAATTATTTTAAATAGTTTTGAATGTTTTTTACATATCTTTTTGTCATTTTTATATTTTTATCTATACAAATATCCCTTAAAAATATATAAAACATGAGAAAATTTTCTGATTTAAGCTATTTGAAAGGCACGAAAATATGACAATAGAAAGTTTACAACACTCTTTTCATAAAAAGAAAAATTTATGTATTTTTGAAGATGCAAAAAGCAACTAAAAATTATAGCAGAACGCAATGTTTAAATTTACATTACACGCGTTGTTCAAATTTATCCTCTTCTCTATTTTATGTCAATATAGTAAATAAATATTTAAAAGCACTCTGGAGCCAATCAAAATTATTTTTCAAATAATTAATAACTGACAATAAAGGGCTTTTACTCTAGAATTAATATATAATGAATTTTAAGAGAATCTTAATTATATAATTATATATATAATGCCGAAAATCGAGAGGCTGCGACAAATGATGAATTCTCCCAACTGTTTGCTAAGAAAGAATTTACAAAGAAATAAATTAGCCGAAAGGATTAAAAAATTTTTGTCTGGAAGAACATTTGAATACAGTTCCCATATTATGCTATCGTTAAATATTTATAAGACATCAATTATGTTACCTAATAGAATATCTGAAAATATCGTGTTCTTATAAACATAAATTCCACGAGAATTATTTTATGACAATTTAATTTATTTTCATAATTTAACTTAATTGTAAATTAAATTTTAAAAATATTTCAGTAAGATCTATATATATTTTATATTGTAGTTTTAAAATTATCACACACTATTTACAAAATATAATAAATCTCGTAGAAAATATTAACAAAAATATTATATATACATATAATAATAAAAATAATAATATTACAAAAAGATATATAAATGAGATATAATCGTGGTAATCTTCGTCTATTTTATTTCTTCTATCACTAATATTTCATTTAAATTCTAATATCGACTCTTTTTCTAGATACTAGTAATATCACTTGAAACTTTATATAGGCCTAATAAGAGAACGGGGGAGTTGATCAGCTTCTCACAATCTCGCCTTCGCGATAACACCGCATCCTTTGATATCAACATTACGCCGTATAATTTCCGTCGTCGGAATTTATACTGCGTATATATATATATATTTCCTTACTACTTTCACACGCGATATTACTCTGACACGGCCGACCTCAGTTCTCTCAATTGGATATTTGATCCAAGCGACTTTAAAGATATCGAAATCTCTGTTCTGCTTAGCCCTTCGGTATAAGAGAATTTCGAAAGAAACTTGGATGTTAAATGTACTATTTTATTTGTATCCTATACACAGTAACAAAGTTTTGTAATATTGTCTTTTCTAATGTGCTAAGAAAATATAAAAAATGAAAATATAGGAAAGTATGATCATGCTTGCTCTATAGTATTTGATTTTTATAAACTGACACTTTAAATTCACATGTTGATACAGAAAAGTAAATAAACATAATAAATAAATAAATATGTATAAAGTATTTAAAATATTCTGGTTATGAGGAAAAAAATAGAATAATAAAAATTTAAAGTTTATTCATGCATAAATAATCTATTCGAGAGTTATAAATATATCTATTCCATAATTTTCTCACGCGAAGAACGTAACAGTTTAAAAAACAGAGAGATATGGCTCTCTCTCCATAATATCTCTAAAATATTTGAAATTGTATGACTCGCGTATTATAAAAGATATTTTTAAAAAATATTCCTCTCTCTTTCTCTCCCATAATAATAATAATGAAAAGTAAGCCGCTATTATCCTTTATCTTGATATAGGTGTGCGAAATAAATCACGAGTATTCACTGGTGCTTCAAATATATGCCAGATTTATATATAAAAAAAAAAAAAAATTAATAAATAAATATGATTTATGAAAATTTACTTTACGCGAGAGATTACTTACGCTTCTGTAGGTGGTGAATAAACGGACGAATGATAGGATGCGTTAATCGGCAATCCACTCGCGACGAGCAATTCATTCGATATCATATCCATCATATATACAAGCAGAGCACAATTCTTATGGGATGCAAGCGGTCGAGGGAGAATCGAGAGAGCGCCAAAGCACAAAGTATATCGGGTGAGTGGTACGTAAATAGATCCTGCGAACCTCCCGTAGAGATGCTTCGTAGCTCTCTCCGATTCACAAGTACTATCTGCACGCGGTGCAGATCATTGTGTGAGTTTTTCCGGGAAAATATATCTCGCCAAGAGGGAGATATCTACACGGCTACGTTTATGCCAGTCCTCTCTAATTTCTTCCTCTCTCTTATTTCTTCCTCCTTGGCTCTCTTGTTCGTCTTCTCACGAAGTGATGAAGCTTACGAGCGACAGAGCGTGACGCGCATTCTTTTTCTAATTTTTTCTTCCTTTTTCCCTCTCCCTCTCTCTCTCTCTCTCTCTCACACACCCTTTCCGTCTCTCGTTCCCTCCGTCTGTATCTCACTTCTTTACATAATTTTTAGACTAGATAAATATCGCTCGCGTTATCAATCGATTCGCGTATTGCGTGAAAGCGGATGATGAAGTAGCGTACGCGTCGCGAAGATGCGAGCCCGCATTGACAACGAGAAGAATCATTCACCGCGCGCATACCACGCGCGTGTTTACGCGCTAAAATATTTCCGCGTCCCGTCGAGTATACCGCGCCGCGCGGCAACGCTCGACTTTCGGTTCGTGGACCGAATGTCACAAAAGCGTCCTCCTTGGACGGCGGTTGAGCTCAAACTGGCGAGATGGTATATGGTATTCGAAGGGTTCGCACCAGCAGAGCAGAGCGACACAGTGGAAGGCCTAACGCTGGATCCTGCGGCAGGCAAGCAGAGAGGGAAAAAGAGTCGCCCAGAGAGAGAGAGAGAGAGAGAGAGAGAGAAAGGGACAAGAATGGAGGGAAAAAGAGAGAGAGAGAAAGAGAAAGCGGACGCACGAGGGTACCGGGGGATCTCGACTCGTAGAGGAACGAAGGGCGAGGTGGGGCGGAGGCGCCGGGAGTCCCTACGAGACCTTTCATGCGTACGCCTGGTATGTACATACGTACGTGTACATACGAGAGAATCGCCGTCGCAGCTAAAAACGATCGACCAGGAAAAGGCGGCAAAATACGTGGACGCGATCCACGCTTTAATGCCTGCGTGGAATAACAATCGAGACGAATCGGAAAAGGAGGCCCGTGTGTGGAGAGAAAAATCCATTTAGGCCCGCTGTATCAACGAGCTAAATTTGAAATTGAATTTTACATATATTTAATATATGTTTCCTATGAGCTTTGTAGAAGAGGCACACATTAATTAAATATGTAAAATTAATTCGCCTAAAACATCATTGACATTTTTTTTTTTTACAATAAATTATTAAATAAATTGTTGAAAATTCTTACGGAAAGCATATCTTTGATAGAATTTAATCGTTACTTATGCGATATTGATTTTTTTTTTATTTCACTTAATATTACGCGAAAATTGCTATCATCATATAATATCATCATAAATTGTTCAATTACTTTTAATGTTTTTTTGTTTTTAATAAAAGAGTCAAGAGTCTCTCTAACGCTAATAATTTATGGTCTTTTTTTTCTATATATATTCTTTTTCTTTTGATAAATTTCTTTTAACTTCGAAAAGTAGAAGAATCGAACACTTCGAATGACCGTACTTTTAAGTCAGAAGGGACGCTTTGTTTGTGAGAATGTAATAGCGGCGCATACTTCGGGACCCTCACAGACTCAGTACGTGCCTTAAGTTTAAGCTACATCTACATTACTACTCACATAAATGTATATCTCGACGTTGAGGAATTAAATTAATCTTTAAGCCGAATAAATATAATAAAATAGTAACGTTAATAAGTAAACAAATAATTTGATACAAAAAAAATATGGTTTTATATTTAAAACAATGTTTAATATGAAACTTGGTTACGTATTGAATAATCTCGTCAGTTACAGTATAAACTGCGCTTAACGCCATATAAAAATTAATATTTACTTTTATAATGTAAATTAATATAAATTGATGACAAACAACAAAAGCAAAGATTGTATCTATCTAATATTTCGACATTAAAATGTTGAAGTTTTCTAAATTTTATATGTAATTTAACTATAATGTGAATGAGACTTTAAGTCACTTAACCCGCCAGGAGGTACAGCGAGAAAAATAAGTGAAGAGGAGGAAGATGAGAAGAAGTAGGACTGGAAGAAAGAGAAGATGCGAAGAGGAGGAAGATGCGGAGGAGGAGGTTGCGGCGAGGCTGACAAGGAAGAGGAACGTGAGAAAGACGAGGAAATGAGAGGAAGGGCTGCGGGACTCCGGAATAAGCCGCAAGGTCTCGGCGGTATCACGTCGTTGTTCTGGGAACCGATCGAATCCTTGATGAACCGCGGCAAAGGAATTGCTAACCGATAGCGCAAATCATCGTGGATCCTTCTACGGGTCACACTTCCAAGAACACCGATGATGAAAACATGACAGAATTTCGGCGAGTTCCAAATTTCCTTCTTTCAAACATTAAATTATACTTAGATTAAGAAGAAAATTAATTTTTTTTTTCTTCGCGACCTCTTTTCCTTATCTATAACAGCGATGGGAATATTATAATCATATAGCATAACTTTTTGATCTCGTAGGAAAGTTTCGATATACATTGAAGTACGAGATGTATAGCGACCAGAAAAATATCTTGTTCTTCATTAATTTCTTTTTAAATATATTAAAATTCTCATGCACTCTCTTTAATATGGCCAGAAGAAATCTGAAAGCTGTGAAAGAGATACAGGACGCAGAAGAGGCAACGTTGCGTGACTCGTTTTGGAGAGCGCTTCGAAATTGAGAGCGGCATATGTCGAAGTTGAAAGGATATGCAAAATCTGGAAGAAAGGACTTCCTGCACGATGTACGAAACCGCGAGAAAGAAGCGCGTCCGGGCGATTGGTAATATTCTTCGCAGCCGATTCGAAAAAGAAACGCGATGGAATGAGACGAAATAAGACGTCGCGAAGACGCCAGAGGAAAAGAGTGACGAAGAAGATAACGCACAGGTACACGCGGGCCGCGATGATACGTCGGTGGATTGGATGCTGTTGGATGCAGGTCGTTTCGTGATGCAGACAGGTTTTTCTCGCCGGAGCATACGAGGCCAGCGCCTTCCGGGTTCTCATTTCGGATAAAAAGAAGAGTGCCGCCCAAGCGTGGCGGTCCAGCTCAAACTACTGATGTGAGAACCGCCCCAGCGGCCACTCGACGAAAAAATACCGAGAAAAACTTTTGCAAATAACGGACAATTATCCGGCATTGTCACGCGCGCCAAATCATGCGTTTTGCGAATCCCCTTGTATTTTTTTTGAGAGACTTCGGGACATGAAGATTTAATGCGTCAGATTTTGTACACCCGGAGAGAGAGGGAGAGAGAGAGAGAGAGAGAATTGTATACAATAATATGTCAGAAATATTAAAATATCTAAGATATATATCGAATAAGAGTAAAATACTCGTATATATTATTTTTCGCTATATGTATGTAACTCTTTTTCAGATAACCATTATGTATACTTTAGAAAATTTTCTTATATATATATA